AATAATTATAATAATATATAAATATATACAAAATGGCAAAAACTCTGTATAAAATAGTGAAATACACACAATAAATACAATAATGACAGCCCTTTAATGCTGATTGTGTTATAAAAAACTGGTAATAAATAGCATTGAATTTTTATACATGTAGTGAAGGGGAAGGGAGAGAATTGAGAGCAAGAATTTATAGTTTTGTGGTCTTCTCTAAAGAGTAGTTATAGTTTTTGCCCAATTTTAGAGACCAATAAAAAAAGATTAATTATTATCGCATTAAATATCTTCCCAATAGTAAAGCGAATCGGAATAATTAAAACCCCATAATAGATAGGGAGAGGGGGAGAGAGAGGGAGGGAGAGAGAATAAGGGTAACAGAATCGGGAATTAAATATAATAGAAAACGAGTCGAAACACAATATATAACACAATATAAGATTCCATTATATTTTTCACACTTAAAAACACATTTTTCTATTCAATAATAAGTAATAATAATAATCATATGAATACTTCATAATATGAATACAAACACATAATTTTCATTCTCATTATATTATAATTAATTTTGCATTTTTTCTCTTCTTTTATGCGTTTTTTACATACGATTACACGAAAAGAAAATTGAAAAGAAGCAAAAAATATAAGTTTTTGTTGTATTATATTTTGTTGTTGTATTTTTTGCTATTTATATTTAATCATTAATACCAGAACACCATTTAATTGGGAAATATTTTATTTGTGTTATACCTTTTTGTATTTTGTTTTGTTATGCTATTCCTTCTCTCATATTATTGTAATTATTTTTATAACAAAAATTATATTCCTATTGTATTCTCTCTGTGTATACGTGTATATCGTTTGTCAATCAATTGGAAATTAATTATCAAAACATTTATCATGTCTTAAATGTATGCTTTGTTTTCTATCTCTCGTTAGATATTTTCCGATAATTAGTTTCCTTATGACTGCAAACACAACATAAAGAAAGTCAATACTTATTTACACACATATAATAGAGAATAACACAAAAGAAATATCATTTTGTTTAGAAATTGATTCAAATATAGTTTAAATAATTATTTTCCTTATTATAATATATATTGTTTAGACAAATAAGCCATTGAATGGTGTTCTATAGTAACCCTGCTTTGAAACAATGAATTTTTCATTTGTAATAATCATAATTCAATTTTTCACTTATAATATAATTATAATAATAAGAATAATAACTTTTAAAAGTGCCGAAAAGTGTTTGCTTTTTATACTGACATTAAAATACTTTAATTTTTTCGGTATAATATATAAATACATCGAAATATAAAACGTTTAAAAATTAAAGCATTTTAATGTGTTTTTATGGAGAGAGAGAATGAAATGATTATTTGTTACATCAATTTTGCCAAAAAATGTCTTGTTTTTTAAAAACAATTACAAGTTTTCAATTGCTTTATATTTTATTAATCAGAGAAACATCTCATAAAACCTTTTCTAATCATTGCCTTTGGTTTTCGCTTTACAATTACTTACATTATATTTAATTAATTTAAAAACAATTAAATTATTCGCAAAACATTTCATTTATAATAATAATAATAATAAAATAATAGGAAAAACAAAATAAAAACTTCTCTCTCATCGAAAGACGAGACACTATCCGAAACAAAACTTGTATTAATATTATTATGTGTTTTTGTTTTTTAATTAAATAGTTATATTTACACGACAAAAATGGTTTCTCTCGTTATTGTATTTAATTTCACATTTAAATATTATATTTATATATTATATATATATTTATATAGATATTATATAGATATATATACCTTAGTTTGAGCACACGTTTCATTTTTTTCATTAATGCTTACTTTTATTCAAAAAAAACTATTTCAAAATTCTGTCAAAACTTTGTGATTCTCGTGTAATAATAATAATCTAATAATAAATATGTGGCAATAATTAATGTCTGGAAAAGTATATAATCGTAAAAACTTTTGAAATAAAATTTCTGCTGAAAATTAATCGCTTTTATGTGTATATTTCAGTGAAATTTGAAAAATTTATAGTGAATTGTATTCAGGAATCACTTCATATGCTTTTGAAACAATAATAAAAAATGTTTTCACTTTTCTGTTCAGTTTTCTCATCAAAGTTATCAAAATTCTCTAAACAATGTATTTTTAAATCCCTTTTTCGGTTAATTTATATTCAATTTTTAGATTTTATCTCAATTTTAAATAATAAATGATTTTGTAAAACGATTTTCTTAAATAGTTGTAAACATTAATGATATATACAGTTAATGTAATGTCTATGAATATATTGTAATGTTATGTATAATTCAATATATAATTGTATTTAATGTTAATGAGAATGCATTTCATGAATTGCTTGTAATAATAATATTATATATATTTTTAGTTCATATTTACATTTGAAACAAACAATCAAAACTAGGAATAAATGTCGTTTTGAAAATAAAAACCAGAAATTAATTTATAATTTTTATGTTAAAAACAATCTTTAAATTTCTCTAAATATTGTCGCGAAATAATTAATGAAAATATCAAACATTTTCACTCATTATTTATCTCTTAATTGGTTAGACATCAACAAAAACATCACAAAACAGATCCTACTATTATTTAGACAATCATTCAATTAATTTAAATAGTTTTTTCTTTTCATTTCATTTAGACTCTCATTCAGTGGTTTTGTTAATATAATTATAATAATAATAAATAGAAAATACGATTAATAATGAATAATAATAATAGGAAATAAAAAATAATAATAAATCACTCATTAATTTGAATACAAGACCTACTAATTGACACTATAGTCAATGCTGTGGCCGCGATATAGAGTGCTGTCCCGGTGTTTGCAACGGCGGTATTGAGGGTATGGATGGTATGGATGTGATGGTGGATATGGAGTCGTGCGCCATAACCATAGGCGAGGACTCGTCTCTGTCGATGGTGTCATCGCTGGTGGCATAGCTCTGTCGCGACCGTTTCAGCACCGACTCCACTAAACCGGTGGCCGCCTGTCGTTGGCTGAGCGTCGATGAGGTGACAGATGAAGGGCTGTGGTGTTGGCCGTGAAGTCCCGGCACGACATGTGAGAAGGCGTGCGCCGACCCCAGCGTCGCGCCGCTCGTCAACGACGACAAGGAGGAGGTGTTGTTCAGATGAAAGCCCGGACTCTTGAATAAAGACTGAGCGCTCGATGGATAGGACGGCGCCTGAAATGATGCCATGTTTTGAAAGGATTGCGGATTTTGAATGAACGCCGGAATGAAGGCATTGCCGGCACTCGTGTCCATTGGCACTGAAAAGTCTGATGAGGAACCGGAAGAGGCCGGCGATGTCATCGAGTTGTTTGATATCAGCAACGATTGTGTCAATGGATTGGTGTTGTTATGAGAGGACGAAGTGCTCGACGCCGACGGACACGACGACGAGATGGCCGCCACCTGAAGGCTGGCCGCCGACGAGTGCGGCAAATGTTGATGAGATTTGGCCAGCGATGCGGCGGTGGAGGCGGTGGCAGAGGGGGGCGTGTGTTGGGCGGGGAGGCTATGGTTTAGATGTCTGTTCTGTCGGGCGAAGGGCTGCTGAACACCAGCGCCTCCGCCGCCGACGACGACTGGGGCGACGGTTCGCGAGGAGTGATGCGAGTGTTGCTGACTATTGGAACCGTTTTGGGCGCCGTTGGCCGACACCGACGATGACGACAACGAAGACGTGTTGAGTCGCAAGTGATGTGTTTGCGAGTGATTGTAAACTGTGGGCGAAGTCAATGAGTTTGGGGGCGACTGGAGTGAGGACTGGCCGGTGGGCGGTGTTGTGATGGGAGTGATGGGCGCCCACGCCTTCGACGGGAACCGGGGGTCCGGAGCGTAGTTTAAGGCCATTCCCGCGCCGGTAGTGCTCGTCACCGGACTCTCGCAATCCATGGCTGAAGAGCACACCATATGGTGGAGACTCGCCGTCAGCGACGAGTTGTTGGCCATTAAGCCGTCGCTAATCACGTGAAACGGACCGCCGGTTTGCGTATAACTGTTCTGCAAGTGATGGCCGTGTAATGAATGGCCAAAGTGTTGATGTGTGGGGTCTGAATGGGCCCTAATGTTTGTCACTGAACAACAAATCATAATAAAACACATCATTAGATATGAGTTCTGTTTGGCGTTAATAGTAATGGCTTTTTGTCTGCGGTCTCTGTGTTGTCGTCTCTAACGACTTAAACCGCTATTAAAGCAATCAATTGATGGCTCATAGAAATAGCCATTCATATAATACACAAAGACATTAACGATATAAAGTGATAACTGATGGTCACTTACAGTCGGTGGGACACTGACCGGCGCAACCCATGGCGCTCGGGCTGAGCAACCCTTGTTCGATGGCAGGGCTGGAACTGGTGCTGAGGGATGTGTTAGTACTGCCATCGCTGGTACGCCTGAAGAAGCTGTGCTGCAGAGCGTTGTGAGCGGTGATCCGGGTCTTCGGGTTGTAGTCCAACATACGGAGCACCAGATCCTTGAATTTGAGATAATCGGACACCGCGTGGCCGGGCTCTCCCAGTCGGCGGCCGCCCGGACCGCCCAACTCCACGCCCAGTATGTCTGTCAGCTTTCTAGCGCCCGGAGCCTTATACTAGTGGAGCGATGAATGAAACAAATACATCATTATTAGCGAAACGCCGACATAAAAAAGCATACAAAATGTTATTTCATATCTAATAAATAGTATATTTATTTTCTACTGATTGTGTTTAGTGTTGTTTCGCTTGGATTTCATTGTCAGGGATCCGCATGGTGAAATGTAATAGTAAATAGTGAGTACTGTATGAGTTATAAATATAGCAATTTATAGACAAATTCATATTTGATAGCATTAGTCATGCTATAACTAGAGTATAACCTCACTATACAAAAGTGGCCCTACAGTGGCCCCTGCGCCGATTAGTGTTCATTGCAATACCTGTAATACCTTTTTCCTAGCTATCAGTTTCTTCTCTCAATATATCCAACAATTATATATAACTAAAGAAATTTCTATCAAACCTATCAAAGCGTATCATTAGATTCTAGAGTCGATCACAACATATGGTTTGGGAAGCGATTCCTCTCATGCAATCTCATAGTCTGGCGGCGAAACACATTTCACGACACAATCATATTGTCTTTGGGCTCAACCAGTGAATGACACACAAAAAATTACATAGAGATACACAACAGCATAGGTATGCCATATATTCTTTAAGCTCATGAGAGAGAGAGAGAGAGAGAGAGAGAGAGAGAGAGAGAGACCTGACATGACTTGTTGATAGTGTCAAGCCATACAATGTGACACAATATAAAAATGGTAGCAAAAAGGTTGCAACACTGGTGTCGGTGCGAAAGGAGACATACCTTTTTGCCGTCCTTAGCCTTCTTGAGAACATTGGTTCCGTCGGGCAGTTTGTCAAAGTATTTGCGCGCTTTATGCGCTTGGTCAACGATGTGTTTGGGTGGTAGGCCGAGCACCTCGACGATCTTGTTCATTTGGTCGACTTCGTTGGCGCCGCTGAACAACGGCTCTCCCGTATGCATCTCAACCAGAATACAGCCCAACGACCACATGTCGATCGACATGTCATACGGAATGCCTAATAGGACTTCTGGAGATCGATAGAAACGGCTTTGAATGTATTGGTATATCTATGCAGACAAACGGATCCAATGGCACAGCGAAGAAAAAACAGTAAAGACATTAATACAACGATTCAATTTATACCATAAATAATATATTAAATCAATGATTAAATTAAATATTATGTTTTCCCTGATATCGACTACAAAAAGTGCATTTTAGTGATTTTGTTCACTCATTCATTGATTCAGAATTTTTTTGATCCAAAATAAAAATGGTTTTTATATCGATCTTAATGTCAAAAAATATGACTGATTTGAGTGCCTGTGAGAGTCATGTATATTATATATACTGTATATAAGCATTATTATTGTTATATAACATACAGTATATATACTTCAGTGAACAAGTCTTTTAGAAAAAAGAAAGAAAGAAAGAAAGAAGAGAGAGAGAGAGAGAGAGAGAGAGAGAGAGAGAGACGAAATGAAAAGTATATTATAAAGATGAGACANAACAAGTCTTTTAGAAAAAAGAAAGAAAGAAAGAAAGAAGAGAGAGAGAGAGAGAGAGAGAGAGAGAGAGAGAGAGACGAAATGAAAAGTATATTATAAAGATGAGACAATAAAAAATAATAACAAAAAACTATTAGAAAGTATGTCTAGAGTAGTAGTAATAATAATAATGAAAGTATTGTATAGTATTGTGAAGTATTGTATGCATTGTTATACCCTTTTTCCGAGTTGACAACTGCTGCCGAAGTCGACAATTTTGATGGCACTTCGTTTGGGACTACAGAGGAGTATATTCTCTGGTTTCAGATCGCAGTGAATGATAGAGAGCTCCGGATTTGAGAGAAACATCAAAGCCGTACACATTTGTTGAGCGAATTTTCGCGTCAAATTGAGTGAAACGCCGCGAAAATTGGTGTTTCGCAGCAAATCATATAAATTATACGATAATAGCTCGAAGACTAGGCATAAGTGGTTCCTCCACATGAAATGACCCTTTAGTTTGACTGCAAATATAGAGTGAAAACACATTAGTTATCAATACAAACCAAATGACAAAATACAAAATATTAGAGTAAATGTATAAAAAAGAGACAAAATATATTTCATGTGATTTTCTTGTGACAACAAATAAAGAGTAAATTGACATCAAAATTGAATTGTCATCACAGGATAGGGACGGAGGAGTCAGTGATTGATGGCAGTGGTAGTAGTGGTGGACAGGGATGGCAGAGACGGGGGGAGGGGATGGCAAACAATGGAGTGATGAATATAATCTAAGGACATACCGATCTTGTCTTTGCCGATCGAGTATGAAGTGCCGTTGGACTCGTGATTGTTCATCAGTTCCAGCAGTTTCACCTCGATCTGCGCCTGATTGAGAAAGGGCTTTTTGTTTTTGATGATTTTGATGGCTACGTGGCACTGGTCGTCGTGATCGTAGGCCTTCACCACTTGACCGAACGATCCCTTCCCTATCAATGAGTCGATTTCGTATCTCTCGAAGAATTTCTCCCCATTTTTGATGATATAGTCGTGATTGTCGTCGTCGTAGCCGTCGTTATACAGCTTCCGCTCCTTCTTATGGGAGGCGTTATTGTCGTCGCCCTGTGTTTGTTGGGCTCTTCGCTTCTTCTTCGCGTAATACACCTTTTGGTTGATAACAAATATTTGCAATTAATTAATTGTAATAATTATTTTCCCACAAAACGTATCCGTAATATAAATATGCAAATCATTGCAAACTATTTTCAAACATAGTATATGTTATGCAATTCTAATGTCAATAAAAAAAGTTATCCAATACTTAAAGCACTGGAAATAATTACAACTAATGAGAAAAGATATTTTAATGCAAAGTAAATATTAGGCATAGAATTGAGAAAATTTGCTAATTTTTTGGATTAGAAAATCTATCAAAACATTTACACTCGTATTAGACGTAAAATTCAATCAAACAATTTTCATACATAATATAAAGTTGTGAAAGAAAATAGTTTTTGCAAACAATTTGTGCACACAATTAGGCTGATAGACAAGACATAAGACATACTTCATTGATGTGTTTGTAAGTCTTGATGAGATCGACGCTGAGTTTGCGGAGGGGAGCGGTCTGTGGCTCCCGGAACTTGAAGGGCGCTATTCTCGTGGCGACCGTCGGAGCGCTGGTCAGTGTCACCGATGAGAGCTCGTCGGCCACCGCAGACTTCTGGGCCGTCGGCGCCTGTTGTGCAGTCAGTGCCACCATTTGATCCTGCGTTACAAGACGTCCATACATTACTCCGACACTACTTGCATGACATCTGGTCTCTGAGCCTAAATGAGTGAAAGAAACAAAAAACTGGTTAATTATATGAAATACTTTTATCGACAGATAGATTAATAATAACAGCAAAAAAAATACAACTAATACTCTGTGAATGTGTTTCGCGTAAGAGTGGGAACAGAAAAACTTATTGAGAAAGTGTAGGAAAAAAACTCATTCAATAATATGTTGCAGAAAATTGATACAAAAAACAACAAAAAACTTTTCGTTCAATTTGTTTGGCGTCAAAACGGATGGAAATTTTTGATTTATCATAATTTTTGCAATATTTAAATGAAATTAATTGTTTTAAAAAGTGATTTCAGTGTTAAAACGAGAGTCAATTTCAAATGACATGCATTTTGTACTACACTTTTAATACATTATATTTTCGTTTTCATTGCCAAACAAACACAGAAAGAGAGAAAAATTGCATTATTTTTCATTCAATGAATAAGTAATAAAAACATGAGTTTTTTGCTTTTGTATAAAATTCAGGTATTAATAGTTAATTACAGATTATGTTTGAATAAAAACTTTTTTCCACATATATATTGTGAACACAAACATAAAACATCTATAAATGAAGTTTTAATTTCAATTCTGAATGTAATTCTAGTGTTATATTTGAAATACGAAACGAAATGAAAACAATAATTAAATTGTTTTATTAGTTTAAATGTCTGTTTTTGAAAATAATTTGTTTTCACAAATTCAGTATTTCACGGATTTTATGTAATTTTTTATTTCAGTAAAACATTTGATTTAAATACAAAAAACCATTGAAAACAGTAATCATAATAATTATATTGGATTTGAAACACAAAACAAGTGATGCTTTCGCTTTATTCTGGGAATTGAAATGAATTAAACCGTATATTTGGTGGTAATAAAAAATATCATCACAAGACACACACATGAGAGAGAGAATGAGAGATGCCTTAACTTCTGTGGCAAACAATTCAATTGTAATATAAATATATTTTATTGTATTCACCCGTATATAAACCGGGGTATAAAACAAGAGTTATGAACCGAAAATAAGCGAATATTTTATATGTTTTTATTTCTCTCCCGAAAACTCGCATTTCGGTGAAACATCTCCTCATTATTCTGGGAATATATAAATATATATACGAGCACTAAATGTATACCATATATAATACATAATATGAATTTATTTTATGTAATAAAATATGAAAATATATGAGAAATTATATAAAGAGAGCAATAGATGTCACAAAAATGAATTTGCCTCTCGAGCCGTGCCTTTACTCAATGGCCAACTCCTCGAAACAAACTCTTCAATCCATACCATTGCCCAAACATATCATACAAATAACATCTAGATATATAACCAGACGTTTTAATAGAGATGAGAGAGAGAGAGAGAATGAGAGAGCTTTAGGCCATACATCTGATGGATAATTAGATGCAGTGAACGGTTATGTCTGCACTAATCAACTCATTCGGTGCGAAACCAAAGGAATATTTAATCAAATGGTTTTATGAGTGAATCCAATACCCAATACACAGAATATAAATAAAAAGCGTATATCCATTGGTTCGGTGCCACAAATATCAATATATTATACACAGATATATTACATACAATATATATATCCCGTATATAAACCGGGGTATAAAACAAGAGTTATGAACCGAAAATAAGCGAATATTTTATATGTTTTTATTTCTCTCCCGAAAACTCGCATTTCGGTGAAACATCTCCTCATTATTCTGGGAATATAACTTTTATATATAGATATTTATAATAAAAACCACTCAAAGTGTATATAAATATTTTGTACTCATTTTTCTAACTATAATTGATATCATCTATAAGTCAAACATCTTGAGAGAGAGAGAGAGAGAGAGAGAGAGAGAGAGATGCCTTAACTTCTGTGGCAAACAATTCAATTGTAATATAAATATATTTTATTGTATTCATGAAAATAATTTCTGTCTCCTTTTATTATATTTCCTTATTTTATAGTCACTTTTGAACGCATCGCCCAATACTTGTCGTTATAATAATCACAATAAATAAAACTTTTATTTCTTAGTTATTTTCATCGTTATTGAGACCGCGAGTCAACTCTTCAGATGTTTAACATATGAACGAGTTTTTGTATGCAAACCACACAATCGGCTCAATAATACCGACAACTAATTTCTCCCATCGTATAGATTGTCGACAGAAAAAAACGTATTCAACTATTCACACAATAATTGGAGAAATGGGTGAATATTTAGTTAACAATAAGTTTAGTGACACTTTAAACGAGTGCATAGATTGCGTTAATTGTGTAATATTTCAATCAACACATCCGACTACGAATTGTACGTCAAGTGTGTGTTTATATGTATTGAAAAAAATGTATTTATCAATCGAAACACACGAAACCAATTCAACAAATCAAACACAAAAACTCGCGGAAAAAGTGCTTAAAAAAGTCTCCCAGAATTGTATGCGAGAGAGACTTCACGTGAATTGTGAATGAATGCCAACCGCTTTGTTATACAAGTATTATATTTGGCGTACAATAGAGTTCCCAATCATAACTGTTTAGAAATTCTGGTCGAGTTCTGGCTCTCAGTTAATGTTCAGAAACTGTTTAACTGTTCGTACATTTGTTTACTGACAGAAGAATTGAAAGCACTGTTAAAGTTGGGAAAGAGGAGAGAGAGAGAGAGAGAGAGAGACCAGAAGTACTTACTATTTTACACACTTCTTAAGAGTGTGTTCACAAAATAGTTCGCCCATTAATATTTGATTTTAAAGACAAGAATTTTTAAGTTAAATATTAATATTTATGACATTTTTTAAT